CTAATATTAGAGAGTCTAGGAATTTAAAATTTGTTTGTCTAGTCTATCCTTTCGTGTGTTGAAATTATGATTAGCTTTGCTAGTGGCTCACTCCAGTGTTGCGTTCAACGAGTTATGGTTAATAGTAACACTAAATAATAATTTTGTGACCCGTAATTCTCTCTTAATTGCACATACCCTTCTTTTTTTTTAGACGAAAGAAGAAAAAAACTACAGAACTATTGAGTGTCGTCTTTAACAAAGATGTCTGGTTCTTTATTGGTCATTATGATAGCACTCCACTGAATGCTTTTATCTATAATCGTTAATGACTTAGTTTGGCTTGATTGTATCTAGTCGGTCGGTAAATCACAGGAAGTACTGTCGCTTCTAGTGTTACCCTCGGTCACAATGGAGGTTTATACTTTACTTACAATGGCACCTCGTCATTATTATTATTGTTTAGCATTATCAGCGTTGACTTCCATAGGCAACACGAGTGAATGTGATTGTTGGCTGCATTTACGTGTGCCGCGGCAACTGATGCAGCGACACGCTCCATCTGTTCTGCTTATTATCGCGTCCAACACCTAAAATTTTCCACCACTAGAAACGGTCACCGTGTTCCCTATGAAGCATTGTCAGTAGTGCATAGTCACATGCACCGAGAATATCACCTCTTTTTAGAAATTCCTCGCTATTTCTAAGGCGTAGTATCTTAGCCGTCTAGTCGTTGAGAATCTGTATACATATACTCAGGAACCGTTCGAAAATTATTCTGTTTAGCTTCTTGTATAATATCGCGATTAGGTAATAGAAACCAAAACTGTTCGGGATCGTTCGGACACCTACTTTCAAACCTTATGAATATAGCATTTTGCGGTCCAACAACGATCAACACTGATTCAGCTTTTAGTCAGAAACTTAAATGTCTTTGAACTCTCTTGAATATTTAAAAAGCCACGCCAAAGTAGGTATGCAAGGATACGTATGACAAGTAGAACTGTAGACGAAGGGAAAGTCAAAAATGAGCAAACATTTCAAAGAATTCAGATAGTTTGGATACTTACGAGATTAGGTTCAGTCTGCATCAGCATATCGTAGCCAGACAACGCTACAACAAAGATAACAGCTCGTACGTCCTCGAAACACCGCATCCATTTTGATACTGTCCAATAAGGTGTGGCAGAATTCAAGGAGATGCCGGCATCAAGAACTCGTGCCCGTAACGCTCCTTGGCACGCAATAAACTCGGTCTCGATGACGCCGTTCGTTCGGACACGGGCTCGTAAAACATCGCGGACAGACGGCTCGTACTTCTCCGATGTTAGTCGTTCGATATTTTCAAATAGGCTAGAATTATTTTGGACACATTTTTTGCTTTAAGTAGATGAAGAAAATTGGCAAAAATAAGTTGATTCACGACAAATAGCTAAATTTTTAAACAATAGATAAAAACACATATATTCTGTAATATACATCGACTTAAAAATAGACGATTCAGCCAACTGATCATACATAATTGATGCGATACACCCTGTCTTTGTTCATGCTCTCTACGTAGAACAAGCAAAGAGGCCATGTAATCTTTCACTCCGATGAGAAATGGCATTTTAATGCTCACTCCCATCCCCATCCGGCACAATAAGCGTTAATATATTACACATATAGAAACAGATACTGACTACATAGCAGAATCGTTGAGCTCGTACTCATGACCTCTGAGCACCGCTGTGCGGACGCCTTGATCTCGCCAAAGGGCCTCTAATGCCCGGATCGTTTCGTCACTTAGCGTGTAATAATAATTTGTCTCATTTTCGCCGACTGGTGGGATTGCCGGATGTGACAAAACGAGTTTTGCCGCAGATTTGTTTCGTGGGTTGCCCAATCGAATTCGTAGTAGACCCATTCCTGAAACAATCGCAAATGACGATATACACTGTCAATTTTGTACACTTTTTTTAATAAAAACTTTTTCACATAATTTCTCACACTGTTTGAACAACAACCCGATCTAAATGCGTTTCGCAGAACATGTTCCATTTAGTAACTTAAGTCTGCTTGCTATAGGCTATAATCAATGTGCATTCTAGCTATCCGCACATCTTAGTATAGCTTAGACTTTGCTGGCCTATTACGTACCAGCGACCTCTTACACATAAACGGCATCTGAAAACAAGATTACATCCGATTTGTAGAGGAAGGCAGATGGGCGCGAAATTCTATATGCTATTGCGTTTCGATATTGGATAATGATGGGTAGTTCGTAGATTGGCGCATATACTACCGAATACATTGAATTGGTAGATCTATAATTATAAAAAATATAATAACTAAATTTAGAAATTCTGCACATCACAAGTTTTCTATCCTGCTGAATTAAGTTACTTAAGACCTGCTACTCAAGTACTTACCAGCTAGCGTGTACTTCATCGAACTGAGAAGATTGTCAAGGATGGTAGGTCGAAACGACAAGAGTTCCTCATCGCTGAAACCCTCATTATAAATAACCTTCATCTGTTTTACCAATGTACTTTTGCCACTTTCACCGGTACCTGTAGATTAGAGAGGTGAAACACGATTAACATGCTAGTACGCTTGTCGCCAATAAATAGACAAGTATTGGCGCCATGCTGAGTTCGGGTCATTTTCTTTTATAATAAAATTTATTTTTCGTTCAGTTATATTGTTGTTAATGGGAAGTCTCCACGTTCCTCATACGATACGTTTTCATCCATAGTTCAAGCACGATTTTAATGGTGGCGTGTTTGGGACAATCGTGCGTTAGCCTTAGCTTCTCCTTTAACACCTCATTTGTATTACGTTACAACCTAGCTATCTATGATACAAGTAAAATTTGGTACAAATTGATGTTTATCACCCCTCATATTGGCGCTAGACTAAAAACAGCACCGTGGGCTGCCAGTTAGTAGTTAATGTCCAATCGACTGACAAATTATTTATGACATTTGCAATTTAGAATGTGCTACAATAAAAAATTTGCTGTGAAGACACTTCAGCTATTATTTTCGCTATAAGGATATTTTAGATTTTGAACGTTCTTTTGAGAACCGAAAGGAGGTCTACTGAGGCATCAACAGGCCAAAATTATATTAAAAAGTAGAGCTTTGACTGACAAAATTTGTCTGGGTAACTATATACTTTTTACTGGTGTAATGGTCTTAGTGGCCGCATATAAACAAATAGCAAGTCATGCCTTATAATCAGAGCATCGACACGGATGAAGTATCCTTTTTTTGGCAGATTAAACTTATTCGGCGACAGCCGTTTTGTTCCTTCGATGAATAGGCTGCCATACACCTAATAATTAATATTAGCTTTCTCTAATGAAACCTTATCACTTCCGTCAAAAAATGGACTGAAATGCTGGCCGGTCCAGTCAACATGAGCGACGACATTTTAGTGGCATTCTGTTTATACATTTCGATGATAAACCAACCATAGCATGTTATGTACAGGACATCAATTGCGAGTGTTCGCAAATTTGCCAGAACGACCTAGATGAGCTAGGGCTATGAGCAAAATCGTGCTAGATTCTTCCTCAACTAGTCCCCCCGTAACCGAATACAACGTATGGGTCAATCCATCTGTTTATCATCAATGCTATACTGTGTACGATTGTTTGCTTTCTTTGACAGCTAAATAGTATATCTAGAAATTAAGTACATGTTAAGATAAGTAGACATGCGTACTAAGGGAACGGCGTACGCCGATCATGACTCGACGCTTCCCTTCCTTTTTTGGCGCCGTCGAAAGAGACAATTTTCCGTCTCTATTTCGTTGACGCGTGGTGGCTACGCATTCATTTATGAATGCGTGCCGATCGGTCTGCTCGTCCGGCCGTCTGTCTATATTTATGTACACCTTATGCAAATGATAGTATTCCCAGTACATGCCATTACAGAACAGAGAAGAAGAGCAGGCAGAATACAGGTTCAGATGTGTGATATTTTCCTTCTCCTGCGGCCAGATGTAGTATTGTGTATCTTAATATTGGTGACACAAGATCAGACAAAGACATGAAAATGAAGTAAAAGTCACTACCGTCTATCTAATAACAGGTGAAATACGGAAAAAAAGTGGCATCGCAGAAAGGTTATTTTATGGTCAACTGCGGGCCCATATTAATAGCCGGAAATTTTAAGGAATGAAACAAGAAGGAGAACAGTCAGATCATGGCATGAAATAATGAACATCTATAATAGATAGTACTTAAAAGATGTTCTACGATTTTTTTCGTATCAGATTGCAATTATATTTACGCCAAGGGTGGTACGTAGGATGATGAAGTGCGTATTTGTTTTGCATAGCTATAGAAAATGTTCGGAGAGAAAAATAGTCTTTATTCGAAATACTGCTGCATCAAGTGCTACTCGTAGCCTGCACTTGGCTACTAATGTCATAGAGAGACCGAAATCAAGGATGAATCACCACGACGTTGTCGGATTTTAACTCGTGAACCTTTCGTTAGCAATGGGAAACGGTGAAGTTGTGAACCACGTACACCACGAGTCGCTAACGATCATTGGCGTAAATAAGCGTTCGATTCAGCCCAGCATGCCGGGTTGTTCTTTTAGAATACATCCTAATTCGAATCACCGAATGTTTCTATATTAACGTAACAATTTTTTAAATTATCTTGCTAAGGAGATCCGCTCAGTCGGATATAGTTTCGTATAGGAAACACTCTAATGTTCGCGACAGCTCGTATAAAATATAAAAAAAGAGGTTAAAAGTATTCTGCGGCAAATTTGTGTCGTGAACATTTGCTAGCTCAACGGAAGCTCGCAAGATAGTAGGTAAATGTATTCCCTAAGGATGCCTTTTTCCAGCCAATATTATAACAACAACACCAGAAAAACTCATTTAGCTTACACGTCAGAAGTCACATCAGAAAACAAGAGTTCTCACTCACCTCTGTTTCAACAATCATCGATCTTGATCTACAGTTATTCACGATCTTGAGAAACATTTTCAGCTAATAAATTGTAGGAATACCACACCATGGATGCATTTACCTATGGTGCAATGCACTTCTGCTCGTCTGCTACGCGTGCTCAGTTAGCCGGACTATGTCAGATGAGTTTTAATTATTTGCATGTCATCGTCGAGGCCATTTTCCCCTCGTCTAAGAGAGACATAGTGAACGAGTGTAGAAAACGCTTTTCGTAAAGCCATTCGCGTCTATGAATCAACAACCACCTATTTACCAATCAGTTTGTTTTTGCGATGGGATCCTATTAGACGCAACGTTCAGGAAAGCGTGATGCCATGCTCGGACCAATTAACATCGGTATATCAGACAAGTTTGCTGACCGTATGTCTGCGTAACGTAATAGTTGCTAAATCGATATAAATGTATATTCCGATACATTTATGAATTACGCCCGGTTTTTGACACAGCAGCTTTTTTTGCTTCGGAGCACCGATATCAATAGGCCGAATGTACGTCCTCTGTCCTAATACCATTCTCTGGTTTTTATAGTTATAATAGCTGTCTATAATGGTTTCGGAGAAGAGAAATTTCATGACTCTGTCTAACAGAAAACGATTGAAATCGAGATGCTGAATGAGATAAAACCCTACAACTACGACTATCGCTATGGCTCGCTGCTGCTAGTGCTATCGGTCCCCTTGACAAATACGACGGGGTTAAATAGAGCCCATCGTTTTTTATTTCAATGAAGAAAGAGAATTAGTTCTTGCAACGGCAAAGGAAACGGACATGCTAAGGCGACTTGAGTGCATGCCATGGCTGCGACTAGAAGTTTTTTCAAAGCTGAGTAGGATAAACTCCTATATATAAAATCAAAATACTTTGACCGGAATCGCAAGGTAAATGATCATTCTGTGAACCAGGCATAACGGCTATTTCTCGCTGACCATTGTGGCGATAATAGTAGGCAGCACGAGAATGTCTTGAAAAAGATGGACATAAAAACAATGTGATGTAGATTAACTTGTACGGTTTTTAATAACACATACTACAAGTTATGACTTTTAAGCCCCAGCAGTGGGCAGTAAACGCCAACTCACGAGTTCCCTCTGGGATCATGTGAGAAATGGGTTGTATTTTTAGGATATGTATAATAAGCACGTGCTTGGCACAAAGTCAGCTTCTTTGACTCTCCGGAGACTTGTGGTTGGTTCAACCTATGGCCTACATATATCAGCACTTGCTTCTTTCGCCTGTCAAGCAATTACTAGCGTCCCTGTCATTGGCTCCATGCGATTCAGAACTTTACTATTTTTTTTTATTGTATAATGTTAGGTTTAAGGTGTTTCATTCATACATTACATGTTCCCATGCAATTTCAAACCTTGTGTAACAAAAATATTGACGCAGTATGTATTTGAATCCGAAATTGAAAGGCACTGCAGCTCTTAGGAAACGAAACGATGTGAGCAAAGGACGTTCGAGTGGAACTTTAAACTTTCCTTCATGCAATCATTTAAGCTGTTTACATGGAAAGCGCAAATAGTATTTACTGACATGGTCGGAACTAATGCAAGTATTTTGGTATGCAAACATTGTCTTCATGTGTACTTATGCGTCTCATTGTGCCCGCAAAAAGGCAAAAGTTCCTTCCTATAGGAATTTAAGATGCTTTTTTCGATCGTGAGAAGGCACTCATTGTTAACTAATTGGGAAATGTTAAATGGACTCGAAATTTCAAATTGGTGTGCTCAATTAATCAGTTGAACATCTTAGATCACATGTTTTCACATGGACGTCGGCCACATATGAGAGAACATTGAGGGGTCATATCTGAAGTAAAAAAAATCAGTCAATATGAACTCACGGTTCTCAATGTAGTAGTACAAAAGCAGGCTATGTATTTTACGAACATTAAACACGTATATCATGAAGAGTGCTGAAATCTGAAGCCGAGTCAACCCTTCCTCATATAGGATTAAAAACAGATGCCTCAAGCCAATAACAGTCGACAAGGTAACCAAAATATATATATGGAAGAAAGCCAGGAAAAATTGATTTCAATTTAATCGTACGTTTACCAATTATTTCTCGGTCCCTTTACTCCTACGTACAATTACCACACTAGTTTACGGTGATCTATAGAAAAGCGGATGACAGAATTTCTCTGGTCGGCTGCTAGACAAAATTATTTTTTAATGCAGAACGAAGAAGTCGAAAACTGGATGACAGTGCCCGTCATTAGAAGAAGTTTACAATCCGTCTTCAAAACGTGGTCGGAGTATTCTGGTTTAAATGGTCATTGCACAGTCAGCGTGTTGTTGTCGAATTACCCGAAAATTGCAGAGATCGCCGGTACTATTTTTCTTACCGCGCCACTGAAATATGTTCCCGGAAAAACGGTTCTCGAGCACAAACTCTGCATGGCTACGTCTACGCGAATTCATTTTTGCGCGGTGTGATTTTCGTTTCTGAAAGCACTCCAGCTAATTGTATCAGTCATATATACATGGCAATAATAACATTCGTTATTAACCAATTTTCAAAAGTTGTACGATTCGTGTTTGTGTCGTGCGGGGTCAGAAATGATACTCTATG